TATGCCACGGCACTCTACCCAGGGGGACAGCTTGAGGCTCTGTCTCAAAAAAAAAAATTATTTGCATAAATAACTATTCTTAGCTAGTCTCAGAGCAAATAAGACCAAGCTGGCTGAAGAGTCCGGAAAATGCTAGGGAGAAGTAGCAATTTTCAACGTCAAAAATGTCGTGGTCAAGATGAGCAGTGCAATTTTTTTTTTAATATTAACACCACAAGATCACCACAAGCCACATTAATGTAATTGATGACATCAATTCTGCACATATGCATCTGATCTCTTAGCAGAGAAAGTGTAAACTAAATTCAGTTGTGTGAATGACAAAATAATAAAATACTATTTCTCATGGAGAATGAATTACATGATTTAATACTAAAATATCTTTAAAAAATTGAACCTCTAATGACACATCTTTCATTAAGGACTCATTCCATCTGTACATATTAACAACTTCAAACATGGATTTGGAACTGATGGTTTTGTTTGTTTTAAAAGGTGCCATGCTTGAAGAGTCTGGAATAGAGAGAGAACGTCAATGAAATGACAGCTTTAAGAGTCAGTGCTACTTTTAACAACTTTAATTATCTAGCTAAAACAATGAATGCTTTCTCTGCACACTTTAACTAAAATAAGTAGTTAGACTGTCTAGGGCAGAGGCTGGGCTTCAAGAAAATTACCAGTCCTGAAGGAGACGACCATCCAGGCTGGATGATTAGAAATCTTAGTCTGTACCAAGAAGTGGTGTTTTCTTTGTTGTATCCCCCCTTTTAAAAAAATAAACTTTATGCTTTTGTGTAGCTCTGACATTTAATAGCCTGTTTGGCCGATCCTAAAAAAAACCCATATTAAACTTTGGCCATTATATTCCATAAAATTACATTAACATTATCAAATTAGAAATAAAATTATAATAATCCAAAGAGATACATTATATCCTTAAACAGAAAACTAGTAACTCCAAGCCCTGAAAGTAAACAGTGTACCCGCCACACTAACAGAGCAGCCACCATGTTTCTACCCACGAGCTGAATTGATCCACCTTTTCCGTATCTTCTTGACGTAGTACTCAACCAATCCTTACAGCAAGAGTTTGTCCCTTCTTTGCTAAACTGTGAATGGGCAGCATAGACTTTAACAGCTTGATTACCCATGTTCTGTGCTTCGCACGGCCCTCAGAAATCAGATCAGAGATGGAACTCTGAGAGTGTGTGAGGAGGAACTGGAATACCAAACCAAGCCAGAAAAACATTTTCTGTGACTTTCTAAAATGTCAAAAGGAAGCAATGTTTGTTACCTATACATGTTCACAATCAGTAAGCTGGAAAATACTTGTTTTTTCATTTCAGCAACAAACCGAATCTAGCGCTTTAATGGGTTGTTAGATTACAGTGGCTGTTACCGACATTGTTTATGACCATCACGTGTGATCAGAGTGCAGCTTTACCTGTGCTGTCTACTTTATGATCTATAGATAATTCCAGAATTTATTTCTAATCAAAACTGTCCAGTTTCACTAATATCCCTCAGCCTTTCCAAAGACAGATCATCACAAATTCATAACATTAAATAGTTTCTGAACATCTTGTGGTGATGATAATTATTTCTAAAAATAGAGAAAAATGAGCTTGCAATCAACTTGCACACTGTTCAGTAAATACATTACTATTTCATATTTAGAGGTGTTATCAAGAACAAGCAGCGTAAACTGTGAAGAGACATGAAAATGCCTGTTACATTTGACTATAATGAAGTAAACAATGTTAGTATATAAGCCTCAATTTTGGGAAACCCTGACATTTTATCCATTATAATTTCTTCCTAGAAGTATTAGCCAAATGCCCTAAAAGCTACTGATAACCTGATAAGCCAAAGTTGCTCATAGAGACTCTAAATCTGCAACAACTCCCAAAGAGGAAAATAGAAGCCTTCTAGCCAGTGAGTGAACTGATTATTCATTTGGATGTACGACAATGTCACAGGCAAGAAGCCAGAGCCCTGGGTTGTACCTTTGCGTTTTCTGTATTGGCCACATCATCTTAAGAAAAGTTTCTTAATAACCTGGATTAAAAAAATGTATCATTCTAAAATATATCTGAGATCCTTTCCAGTCTCAAGGATCTACAACTTTTAGCGTAACTTACAGTGACAGGAGCAAGCCCACACTTACCATTCTGTTCCCGTTGCACTCCCGCTGCCAGAAGGTCGGGCTCCCCGAGGCTGATGTCATTGAGCCGGGTCCCCAGGCACTCCATGCACAGGTGTTTGCACCACTCCTCGGCCTCCAGCTCTGAAAACAACCACACACCATCAGCTCCATCATTACCATATAGAGGATGGGGAAGGATGCTCCCTGAACCATGCTCCCACCTAATTGGCAGGGGTTAAAAATCTGCCTTAAAACCACAATTGAATACTACATTTAGAAAGTGAAGGAAAGTCCCTAAACTTATTCCCCACTATTTGACAAATATTCAAAAATGTTTTTAAATTATTCTGTGCTACTTTACCTTATTTAAACACCATAGTCTGACAATACTTGCTTCTCATCTAGTAGATTTTAGATTGATTTTGTTTTTGGAGAAAAATTAGCTATAAAAATAGCCAGGTTTAGTCATTCTACAGTGTGTACATACATCATGTTGCACTCGGGAAATGCACACAATTTTATCTGTCAATGTACAAGATAGAATAACTAAATGGACAATGGAAAGAGATGTAAGTGAAGAGTTAAAAAGGTCAGATTAGATTAAGAAAATGAACGGTTTCCTCAGTGTGATGAGATTTGCCTGGATTACTGGAGTTGAAGGTATGGCCCCCAAGCCACTCTGAACTGTAACGGATCACAGATCAGCTCAAGAATGTGATAGCTTTTTTTCTGTAAACATCAGAAAGTGGGCTATACTCCCTTAAAAACTTGGGAGTAGGGTCTTTAAACATTTTTCCTCTCTGGCAAATATCAATTACCTAAGACATTAGATCATTACTCCTTTTACTATGATCACCTCCTAACTATTCTATATTTACACGTTTCTTTTTCTCTTCCCTTGAAACATTAGAAGATCTTAACATCTACGCAGAATCCTGGGCATCTAAAGCTTCTACAGGCTTTTATAACATAAATGGATTAGACTCTAATACATGCTCTGGGTGAAGGAGGTGGCTAAAGGGGAGCGTTATCCCTGTGTCAACATATCCTGTCAGTGGTCAGCAAGAAAACAGAGTTAGAACCCAGGTCTTCTAGTTATTTTACTGGGCAGACAGTTGAAAAGAATATGAGGTTTCATATTTCAGGCCAAGCTCCATCATTACCATACAGAAGTTGGGTAAGAGCTTCCCCCTGACACCTGCCCAGGGAAGTTCAAGTTCTGATTCCTCACGTAGCATAAATCCGCACTGGGACAGTGTGATACAGATTCCCTGCAGACCCCTTGTTGTTTTCTGTAGATGACATTCCAACCTTTGCCTTGGCATTTTAAACTCCCCATAAAAAGTTATCTGTGACAAGTTTTCTGCCCATCTGAGATTTGAATGCAAACAGCTCTCCCTGCTGGCGACACCAGCATGTCTGGGTGACGTTTCTTCCTGAGCCTGGTCATGCTGTTTTCCCACCATGTCATCAGTGAGATGTCAGGCAGATTTGTCGTTTGTTTCTGGATTTATCAAGACCATTAATGATACTGTTAGATAAATCAAGAAAAAAAGAACATGTAGCCCCCCCTCCCATAGAGTACCATTCTACTAAAAATAATATTTCAGATGTCCAGTGATCACAGTCATTTTCTTTGTAAGAGGCACAGTTTCCACCGTTCAGGGACCAGACGCTGAGTGCTGCAAGTCACATCACCAGCCCAGGTCCAGGATCAGGTAGGGTCTCAGGACAGCATGGCTCCCTTGCTTCAGGAGAGTCAGAGGGCTGTGACTGGCTGGTTGGCCATTTCCTTAGGAACCAAGAAAATAATTTTTTCCAACCACGAGGCTACTAATATAACACCGTACCCTGCTGAGGCTCACCGCTTTCTCAAATAAATAAATAAATAAATAAATAAATAAATAAAATTCAAAACCCCAAAACCCTTCTAGTGAGAAAATGCCAGGCTTCATAAAAATTTTTACAGCAGCAACAAAAACATATACTGAAAATAATTTTCTCTTTAAGTAGTGAGTCAGAGCACACGCAGAGGTTCAGGATCTCATTCAGTCCCTCTCTGCACTAGCTCCCTGGGTTAATGAAACGCAGAAAGCAATCAGATATAAAGGGCTTCCATGGACCTGGGGCTGATGCTCTCAAGCAGTACAAAACGTGGAATTTCTGTCAGGCCAGACCCAGAGACATCTTCCGTCAGTGCAGTGAGAGGGATTCCTGGGCTTTACCTGACAGCAGGTTAAGATGTCTCCGCAGCCAGTGGGAGAAACCCCCCGGGCTTCAGCAGTTAGTAGTGCAGTGGCAGATGAGTGCCAAAGTTACCAAGAGTCCCTGCAATTCAGGTATCATCGAGGACTCACTTCTCTTTTTTTTTTTTTTTATAAAGTTTCATACTGTCATAGGGGTACATCCCTTTTGGTTACATAGTTTGCTTTGTTGTGGATCAAGTTGGGGTTCCAGGGGTATCCTTGTCCCAGACAGTGTGCAGGATACCCACACAATGTGCTCGTTGGCTGGGAATTTTCCCAGCCCATTCTTCTCTCCCCGCCTATTGAATGCCACTGAGTTTTGCTCTAGTTGGTCCTTCGTTTTTATTAATTTATTTTTGTTAGTCCATATAAGCCAGGCCCTGTGTGAGGAGGCTATGTGAAAACCGCACTGCTCTTATTAATCTTAGAGGCTGGTGGGATATGCCAGGGGGTCTGCCACATGGTGCTCTGGGGGGCTGTGGCCTCGCCGAGGAAGAACTGGGGAACTGTGGCAGGATGGAAGGTACCAGAACAGGTGCCTGCAGGACAGGCAGGAAGTAAATGATGACATGTGTGTAAGCGGATGACGTGCATAGCAGTGTGTGTGAGTGAGTTTATGTGTGCATATGAGTGTGGCTGAGTGTGTATGTGTGAGTTCACATGTCTGTGACTGTGTGTGTGTTGGAAGGGCAGAGGAAGATGTCTGGGACATCAGGAGGACGCAGGATAGCAGGAGTGACCTATATCAAGCTGGGGACAGCTCTGAGTTCACACAGAAACATCTGAGAGACAGCAGACAGTCTATTCTCTTCATGATTTTCTAGTATTTGGCTCAATCAGATCATTCCTAAACTTTCATCTGAAAAGTACAAACCTTTGTACTCTGTACACACGATGTAACGGTTCTGCTGAGTTAGCTTGAATTCATTTGAGAATTACGCAAAGCTTTGGTTTTAGAAAGGTTTGCAAAGCTGTTTTTGACAGTCACCTTTCCAATATTACAATTTACGCTTGTCCTTTCCTAGGTGAGCTCTATGTACTGAATGACATCTTTTGATGTTTTATTGTATGCTAATGTTTTGCCCTATCATTATTTAGTTAATGTTTTTCTCTGAACTTTTTATCTTTATTTTGTTTTATACAGAACTGAGGTTAAATAAAAATATGATAATCAGAACTCACTGGACTTTAAACATTTATTTTTCCGTAGACTCAGTGCCTTTCTTCATCTGTCTTTCAAACATTTTGGTGTACGCATCGTGTGCAAATAATTAAATTTCCTTAGGAAGGAATAAATACATCAAAACGTCCTATACAGTTTTCTGCTTTTCTCTTCATGATGGAAGTGCTTTTTTATTAACATGTTTTTTATTTTCAAATAGCTTGCAGTTATGTTCAAAATTTATGCAAATAAAATTTCTTTTTCTATAGAACAGAAACCCAAATAATGTTTGCATTATACTATATAAAATTAAGTAAATGAAGAAATTTGGTAATTTCCAAAATGAAAATTGAAAGATGCTTGGAAATCACAAGACAAATGGAGATAAGAGATTAAACTAAATGATTGAATTTGGTGACAGTTGGGTTTTTTTAATGGAGGGGAAATGAGGATACTGCAAAGTAGAAATCTAGTTAGGGATGGATGGCTTCTCTCTGGGTTTAAGTTTGTTTCCATCTTTCCTTCTATAATTCTGGGTACACTAAGGCTAACGCCCTTTGAACCAGAAAGAGGGTCTTTCCATAGAAGGCTCTTAGTTAATACCTATTGACTAAATGGTGAGAGTCCAACTTTATTGCTTTCACCACGTGTAGTCCCTAGGATAATGATATCGAAGTTAAATGATGCAGAATGTGCTACAGTTGAAGAGAGTGAAGACGTTTTCATCACATACCCAGACAATTCAGTATCTACAAAATCACATGGAGACTTAAAAATAGCACTGCGTCAGTTTCACGGCGCTTCATTGTAAGATGTCGGCAAGACTATTTTTGTGTGAAAATGATAAATCATGTAGCTAGCCCTCACTGGATTTAGCTTTTATTAATAAAAATTATTATTATTAAAATAGCCCTGTTTAGCCTTTAGCATAACCATTCATTCTTGATTATATCTAATTCTTATCTTCTGTGCAGATTTCCTGTGGTTTGGTGATAAAGGTTGTTTCTGTATTAATTTATGTCAAATACATGCTTTGCTTTGAAGTGAAGAAAAATGTTTCCCTTATAGAGTATTATTGAGACAATATAAAGCTTTCTCTCGTTGTCATTTAAAAGTTATAGTGCTATTAAAATATAAGGCATCTTGATGATGCTTTCTTGAAAATTGGCAGTGACTTTCTTCTTAACTGACCTTGCTGATATTCTATGGCCTCTTGTTTTCCCCTCACTTTTTATGTAGTAAGAAGATAAGAAAGTAGCTAAAACCTAAACATTTGCTTTAGCAAAGATCAAAACAATGTATCTCCATTTTGAGTACTGGAAAAAAGCTTTTTCCATTGAAGTAATATTTGCAGAATTGGTAACTGTAAAGCTGGGGGAAGAATGAGCTTCCTTCGAAGGGTATTTAGTTCCTTGCTATGGAAAGCCCCCTCCTTCGCTCCCTTCCACAAAACTTGCTCAAGCCTAGAAGTCCTTTAAAACTTGGGTTCAGATATGACCTCTTCAGACTCATGCTTGGATGTGACATTTTTTCCTGCACATTTTCATAACACTCTGTACACAATTCTATCAAAGCCCTTAATATCACTAAGTTATTTTTCTGCCTTTTTTAGCCAATATACTTTAAGAAACTGGAGTACAGAAGACTCACTTGATTTAGTCACCCTACAGTCTGGAAGAGCACCTGTACATGAAATCTAAGAAATAAATGTGGAATAAGTAAGTGTATGTTTT